ATAGATTATCATTACACTTGAGTCAATACCTAGATTTGGATTACTGGGTTAAATGGTAAGTATAAGAAGGGGAGAGGGAGTGGGAAAGGGGTGGGTTGCGGGTGGGAGGGATGTTATGGGGGGGAAGCCATTGTAATCCATAAGCTGTACTTTGGAAATTTATATTCATTAAATAAAAGTTAAAAAAAATTTATGAGAAACTATCAAACTTTTTCATACTGGCTGGTTACATTTTTCACCAGCAATTTTGTGTGTGTGTGTGAGTGTGTGTTTGTGTGTGTGTGTGTCAATGTCAACATCTTTCTCAGTACTTGGTATTGTTAAGGTTTTAAGAAAATTCACAATATTCATGCACAAACTTGTTTTCCAAATGCTTGATTATTTTTATTTTAGGGAAAAGGAAGTAAGAAGGAAAGATGGAAGAATCCATCTGAAACTTGGCATGTTTCTAGCACAAGCTAGCCCACAGAAAGTTCTATATTAAAGGGGCCTTGGGTATCAAGGCATCATAGGAGAAAGAGGGTGCCCTTTGCCTTTTGACCTTGTTACAGTGGCTCTAGCCTTTGTTTAAACAACTACAACAGAAACATCCCTGAACTGAAATCTCATCTCAGATGTTTAATGCCATAATTATATAGTATTATTTTGTTACATTTAACTTTCTTTTAAAAACATGTTTTTTAAAGATTTATTTTATTTATTTGAAAGAGTGACATAGAAAGAGATCTTCCATCCAGCACTCTGGAATGCTGGCGTCACAGGCAGCAGCTTAAACTGCTATGCCACAATGCTGGCCCCATATTTAACCTTCTTTCTTTCTTCTTCTTTTTAAAAAGATTTACTTATTTATTTGAAAGGCAGAGTTATACAGAGACAAGAGGCAGAGGCAGAGGCAGAAAGAGGTCTTCCATCTGCTGGTTTACTCCCCAAATAGCTGCAATGGCCAGAGCTGGGCCCATCCAAAGCCAGGAGCTTCTTCTGGGACTCCCATGTGGTGCAGGGGCCAAGGACTCGGGCCATCTTCTGATGGCCATACCAGAGAGCTGGATTGAAGTGAAGCAGCCAGTTCTCAAACTGGCCTCCACTGCAGGTGGCAGCTTTATCTGGTATGCCACAGTGCCAGCCCCATTTAACTTTCTTTACATGTAAGGAATACTATATGAATGATTCTTTAAGCCATGATTCCACAGTGCAAGTCAACTTGACTGGAAGTAGTTAGAGATTTTGAATGCTTTGGACAAATTTATATGATAGAGCACAATGTATTCTTTTGGTAGAGTTATATCAGGTTCCATTTTGCAGATACCATAATTTATTATGTTACTGTTGTTTTGCTCTAAATTACTATTAAAATTATACTTATATACAAATGTTCATAGCAGTTTTTTTTAAATATAAGACGTGAAATATAGGACATTTGCATCTTTTTAAAAGATTTGTTTATTTGAAAGCCAGACCAACAGAAAGAGGGAGAGACACAAAGAGAGATCTTCTACCCACTGGTTCACTCCCCAGATAGCCACAGCAGCCAGATCTGGGTCATGCTGAACCCAGGAGCCAGGAACTCCCATTGTGGTCTCCCACATACATGGCAGGGACCAGGTTCTTGTGATGTCATCCACTGGCTTACCAGGCGCATTAGCAGGACACTAGATTGGAAGCAGAGAAGCTAGGACTGGAACTGATACTCTGATATCGGATACTGAAGTTGCAGGTGGCAGCTTAACTTGCTGTGCCACACTGCTGGCCTCCATAGCGGCTTTCTTTCTTTGTTTTAAAAATTTATGTATTTATTTAAAGGTAGAGTTATAGACAGAGAGAAAGGTCTATCATCCTCTGGTTTGCTCCCCAAATGGCCACAACAGCTAGAGCTGGGCCTGTCCAAAGCCAGGAGCCAGGAGCTTCTTCCAGGTCTCCCACGTGAGTACAGGAGCCCAAGGACTTGAGCCTTCCTCCGCTGCTTTCCTAGGACCATTAGTGGAGAGTGAATTTGGAAGAGGAGCAGCCAGGACATGAACCAGCACCTATGTGGGATGCTGGTACCAAAGGTGGAGGCTTAGCCCACTACACCACAGTGCCAGTCCCACAGCTTTATTTCTAATGGGCAAAAAGTAGAAGCTACTTAAATGACCTTCAAAGGATAAAAAGTTAAATAGAATGTCAATAGGTAAATAAACTGGTACATCCATACCATTACAAGAAACTTGGATAAACCTCAAAAAAATTCTGAATTAAAAAGCCAGTCTCAAAAGAATATATACTGTGTGATTCTATTTTATGAAATGATTGTGAAATAATGTAATTATAGAAATAAAGAACAGATTAGTGGTTTCACAGGTTAGGAATAAGGAGTAGGGAATGGTGTGATTGTCAAGGGTTAACATGAGGTAGTCAGGGTAATGGTGAAGCCTGAATGCATGTGTAACTGGTGAAATTGGAATAAATTCTGTGGGTTGTGCTAATGTCAGTTTTGTGGTTTTGATAGCAAATAGTGACTGGGAATTGACATTGATGAGGGGTGTATGGAATTTCCCTCTGTACTTCTTTTTGGCCTCCTATGAATCTATAATTATCAAAGCATTTTTAAAAAAGATTTTATTTATTTATTTGAGAGGTAGAGTCACAGAGAGAAGGAGAGACAGAAAGGTCTTCTATCTACTGGTTCACTCCCCAGATGGCTGCAGTGAGCAGAATTGGGCCAGGCCGAAGCCAGGAACTTCTTCCGGTCTCCCACATGGGTGTAGGGGCCCAAGCACTTGGGCCATCTTCCACTGCTTTCCTAGGCCACAAGCAAGGAGATGGAGTAGAAGTGGAGCAGCTGGGATATGAACCGATGCCCACATGGGATGCCGGAACCATAGGTGGAGGCTTAGCCTACTGCTCTGCAGTGCCAGCCCCCAAAGCATTTTTCTTAATGTTACAAAATTAATTCCATTGCACTTATTTTTAAATATATAAATAATACATGGCTTTATTTCATGACAATTCAAACAATATTAAGAAATCATGACAAAGAAAGGGCAAATAGTTAATATTTTTCATAGTTGCAGTTATTAAAAATTTGTTTTTTTGAGAGAGGGAGTCAGAGAGAGACAGAGAGAGCCCAGAATTCATTCAACCCAGCTACCTGAGCCATCACCTGCATTAGAGGATGCTGAAACTGGGAGGAGAGGTGAGACTAGAACCTAGGAATTCTGATATAGGATGTAGGGATCTTAACCTCTAGGCCAAATGCCCTCCTTCATAATAGCTATTTTTTCCCCTTCTTCCCTTCCTCATAAAAGCGAAAAAAGTAGTGATTTTCAGGAAATGGGTGATGCCGCTGCTGATTTATGTCTGTAATGACAGCTCACTGATGGGGCATGATAAAACTATGCCATACCATTTCTTCTGCTTTATTGGTGGTTTTATGTGATGGAATGGGAAATGCAAGACAGCTGAGTATTCCAGACATGCTGCATCTGTTCCTGGGAATAAAATAAAGTAAATGATTAACAAGTAATGATCCAGAAAGCATATGTAAAGAGAAAATTACTATTTTATTCTTGATAATTTGTATATATGGAGAGAAATAATAAAATATTGCCTCTACATTCATACTATTTTTATAGCTTCATTATGATTGAGAAGTAGAAGTACTAGATTTTTGTTGCTTAGATTTTATCATTTTTAAGTTGGAAATGGCATTGAATACAGTTTCTATAGATGTGAAAACTTCTGCCTGTAACACTGTTGGTGGAAGGTAAAATTGAATTAAATAAACATGATCTTTCTCTAAGAAACAGTGAAATAAGCCTGCAGCTTGGTAGGGGATACAGGTATGTAAGCAGATAAAATTCTGCAATATGAAACAATGCTAGAATAGATGTGAGTTAAGAGCCTTGGAATTGCATAGCGCATGATCTATCATATAAACTTCACTGAGGAGTTGATAATAGAGCTGGGTCTTGAAGATGAATCTGAGTTGCTCAGGAAAAATGGCGTGCTGGATATTGGGAACATTATGGAAAGTTTATTATGTGTAAAGGTCATGAAAGTTCTCAGCATCTGAGTGTGGTAGGAAATAAGAATGAAGGAGTTAAGTGTATAGCAGGAGAGATGGGCTGGGTTTCAGGGCTCTGCCATTAGGCACAGGTCCTTGAGCTCACAGTTCGTGTATTTCTGGAGACCTATGAAAATGTTAAATGTTTTGTTATTTTTTTTTTTCTTTGACAGGCAGAGTGGACAGTGAGAGAGAGAGACAGAGAGAAAGGTCTTCCTTTGCCGTTGGTTCACCCTCCAATGGCTGCCGCGGCCGGCGCGCTGCGGCCGGCGCACCGCGCTGATCCGATGGCAGGAGCCAGGAGCCAGGTGCTTTTCCTGGTCTCCCATGGGGTGCAGGGCCCAAGCACCTGGGCCATCCTCCACTGCACTCCCTGGCCACAGCAGAGAGCTGGCCTGGAAGAGGGGCAACCGGGACAGAATCCGGCGCCCCGACCGGGACTAGAACCTGGTGTGCCGGCGCCGCTAGGCGGAGGATTAGCCTAGTGAGCCGCGGCGCTGGCCTGAAAATGTTAAATGTTTTAATTTCTTTTCAGTCAGAAGGAAAAATGTGAACTTTTAGGTTGAATAAATATTTTTGTACCCAATACTAATCAATTATATATAAAATTCTATTTTTATTTTATTAAAAGGCAGTGTTCAGCATACACTGGCCTTGATATTTCTTTACTTGGACACCAAAATCATTTAAGAAGAGAAAAGTGGTAAGAATAATTTGAGTAAGAAAGGATTGCTTTTGGGAAGTGAGTTTTAAAATTTGCCTTTTGCTTGAAGATTACAAATTAATGAGCAGAAAAAAGTTATTGAATAAGTGTAAAATTGCAAACTTATTCAATGATTTGAATTGGGAGAATTTAGTAGGGAAATTTTTATTGTCATTCAAATAAAAGATATTACAATATGTTTTATAAAGATTATCATAAAATTAATTCACCATTGTCTTATTTTCTTTATTTTAGCTTCCCAGAATCAAGAACGGCTATGTGCATTTAAAGATCCATATCAACAGGACCTTGGGATAGGAGAGAGTCGTATCTCACATGAAAATGGGACAATACTATGTTCAAAAGGTAGCACCTGCTATGGCCTTTGGGAGAAATCAAAAGGGGACATAAATCTTGTAAAACAAGGTAAGTAATACTTTTCTTACCTTAAATGTCTTTGTGTTTCATACAATTGAGGTTTATCTGAAAAGGACATGGAGATATGTTAAAATTCTCTTCAGAAAAACAGTAAATTTAAAAGCCTATCTTTATACACATGCACATGCACAAATCCACACATACTTGCGCATATCCCAGCTTTGTAAAGGGAAATTTATTGCTGGCTTATTTTAATGACACTTTCTTATTATAATACTAATATGTACTCATTATTTTATGAAGTTTGAAAAATACAGAAAATTATAGTAAAGAAAAACAAAATTCTTACAATTACATACATCTAAAGAAGTTTTTATTTCCTGCATTGTTTATCCCCTGCAAGGTGTGTTTTCTATGTATTTCTATGTTAATATGTGTAGGTACTTTCTTTTTCCCCCACTTTAATTATAGCATGAGCATTTCGCCTCACTTTAAATACTCTCTGAAAACATTTTTAACCTCTGCACAATATTTCATTGTATACATGTATCATAGTTTGCACATTAATCAGTTGCATGCTGTTGTTTTAGATTTTCACTTGAACATGAATTTTTAAATTATCTGATTGCTTCCTTGACATAGGTTCCTTGATACAGAATTATTAGATTATAAAACATGAATAATTTGAAGATTCTGTATAAAAATAGCCATTTATTTCCAAAAAAATTCTCCATTTACATTTCTTCCAACAATGTATGAGCGTGTTTCTGTTACCAAATCCTTGTTATGATTGTATATTGTTATTTTTTAAACCTAGAACAATTTAATTAGCATGGGCAAAATGAAACCTTACTATTTCTTTAATAATTCTTAAATTAATGATGCAATTAAATGTTTTGTTGGTGGTTTTTTGCCTAATAAATACCTGTTGTATCCTTTGCCATTTTTTCTGTTTTTTTTAATTGGTTTGCAAGAGTGTTTTATATCTTAAATGTATTCATTGCCTCACATTTATTTCAATTAGCTCTTAGTTTATTGTTTTCTTTACTATATTGTCTCCTAACTTGTTTGTATTCATACTGATTTGTAGGATGCTGGTCTCACATTGGAGACCCCCAAGAGTGTCACTTTGAAGAATGTGTAGTAACCACCACCCCTCCCTCAATTCAGAATGGAACATACCGTTTCTGCTGCTGTAGCACAGATTTATGTAATGTCAACTTTACTGAGAATTTTCCACCTCCTGATACAACACCACTCAGTAAGTAACTTTTGTAATAATTTTCTCCAAAGACTTGCAGAATCTAAAACAAACATTCAGAGTTGGCAAGAGTGAGAGAAAGAATTTCAGCATCGAAAGATTATATATGTAGTTAATTGTTGAACTCCAAAAGAGATATATCAGGATATGTAAGGTATCAGTAATTATCAAATGAGTTTGAATATAGTACTTTTTAACTTCTGTGGGAGGGAATTTGGTAATATTAAGAAAGCTACAGGGGCTAGCATTCTAGCGTAGCAGTAAAACTACCACCTGCGACACTGTCATCCTATATGGGCACCAATTCATGTCCCAGCTGCTCCACTTCTGATCCAGCTCATTGCTAACAGCCTAAGAAAAGCAATGGAAGATAGCCTAAGTGTTTCAGCCCCTGCCACCCATATGGGAGCCCCAGATGAAGCGTCTGGCTTTGGCCTGGCCCAGCCCCAGCTTTTGTGGCTCTCTGGCAAGTGAACCAGGAGATGGAAGAGCTCTGTCTCTGTCTCTCCTTCTTGCTCTATAACTCTGAATATTCAAAGTAAATAAATCTCTTTTTAAAAATTTTTATTAAATAAAGAAACAGATTTCACTTATTTCATAGGTACAGTTCTAAGAAGATAACCATACTTCCCTCTCTCTCCTGCTTCCTCTCTCAGTCCCTCTCCTTCCTTCCTACCTTCCTTTATTTTCTTTAATTTTTTTCAAAGACATAATTTCAGTCTACTCTATTAACATAGTCTCAATTCATCACTAATCATAATATTCAACAAGTAAAAAGTAGGAGGATCGTAGTTCCATAGCAACAGAGACCAAAAACAACAATCATAACACAAGATGTCCATTTCATTCCAACACATTTTTTTGTGTTCTATATTAACTGCCACATATCAGAGAAACATGGTATTTGCTTTTGGGGATGGGCTTATTTCACTAAGCATAATGGTTTCCAGTTGCATCCATTTTGTTGCAAAAGATAAGATTTCCTTCCTTTTTATGGCTGAGTAATATTTTCTTTATCCAGTCATCAGTTTATAGACATCTTTTTTTTTTTTAAGATTTTATTTATTCATTTGAGAGGTAGAGTTATAGACAGAGAGAGGGAGAGACAGAGAGGAAGGTCTTCCATCTGCTAGTTGACTCCCCAAATGGCTGAAACGGCTAGAGCTGAACTGATCCAAAGCCAGGAGCCAGGAGCTTCTTTCAGGTCTCTCACGTGGGTGCAGGGGCCTAAGCACTTGGGCCATCTTCCACTGCTTTCCCATGCCATAAGCAGAGAGCTGGATCAGAGGAGGAGAAGCTGGGACAGAAAGTGCCACCCATTTGGGATGCTGGCACTGTAGGCAGAGGCTTAGCCTATTTCACCATTGCCCAGCCCCTGAACATCTGGGTTGATTCCATATCTTAGCTATTGTGAATTGAGCTGCAGTAAACATGGGGTACAGATAATTTTCATATGTTAATTTTATTTCATTCAGACAAATTCCCAGGAGTGGTATGGCTGAGTCATACGTTTGTTCTATTTTCACATTTCTGAGGAATTTCCATATTGCCTTCCATAACATTTGTACTCATTTGCATTCCCACCAACAGTGTATTAGGGTACCTTTTCCCCCACATCCTCACCAGCATTTTTTGTTTAATTTTTGGTTGATAGCCATTCTAACTGGGGTGAGGTGAAACCTCATTATGGTTTTTATTTGCATTTCCCTGATGGCTAGTGATCCTGAGCATCTTTTCATGTGTCTGGCCATTTGAATGCCATCCTTTGAAAAATTCCTGTTTGGGGCCGGTGGAGTGGCACAGTGGGTTTAACACCCTGGCCTGAAGCACCAGCATCCCATATGGGCGCTGGTTCAAGTCCCAGTTGCTCCACTTCTGATCCAGCTCTCTGTTATGGCCTGGGAAAGCAGTAGAAGATGGCCCAAGTCCTTGGGCTCCTGCACCCACGTGGGATACCTGGAGGAAGCTCCTGGCTCCTGGCTTTGGATCAGCGCAGCTCCAGCTGTTGCAGCCAATTAGGGAACCATCGGATGGAAGACCTCTCTCTCTCTGCCTCTCCTCTCTGTGTGTAACTCTGACTTTCAAATAAATTAATTAATTAAAAAAAAAAAAAACAAGAAAAATTCCTGTTCATGTCCTTTGCCCCTTTCTTAGCTGGATTGTTTTGTTGTTGTTGAGTTTCTTGAGCCCTTTATAGATCCTGTATATTAATCCTTTATCAGTTGCATAGTTTACAAACCATTCTGTCAGTTGTCTCTTCATTTTGTTGAGTGTTTCCTTTGTAGTGCAAAAGCTTATTAGCGGGCCGGGGCTGTGGCTCAATAGGCTAATCCTCCGCCTTGCGGCGCCGGCACACCAGGTTCTAGTCCCGGTCGGGGCACCGGATTCTGTCCTGGTTGCCCCTCTTCCAGGCCAGCCCTCTGCTGTGGCCCGGGAGTGCAGTGGAGGAGGGCCCAAGTGTTTGGGCCCTGCACCCCTTGGGAGACCAGGATAAGTACCTGGCTCCTGCCATCGGATCAGCGCGGTGCGCCGGCTGCAGCGCGCCGGCCGCGGTGGCCATTGGAGGGTGAACCAACGGCAAAGGAAGACCTTTCTCTCTGTCTCTCTCTCACTGTCCACTCTGCCTGTCAAAAAACAAAAACAAAAACAAAAAAAACAAAAACTTATTAGCTTGATATAATCCCATTTGTCTGTTTTTGTCCTTATTGCCTATGTTTCTTGGATCTTTTCCAAGAAGTCTTGCCTATGCCAGTGTCTTGCAGAGTTTCCCTGACGTTTTTCTCTAGTAATTTGATGGTATCATGTTGTAGATTTAGATTCTTGATCTATTTTGGGTTGATTTTTGTATAAGGTATAGGGCAGGGGTCTTGTTTCATATTTCTGCATACGTAGATCCAATTTTTCCAGCAGCATTTGTTGAAGTGAGTGTCCTTTCTCCAGGGATTGATTTGAGCTCCTCTGTCAAAGGTTAGTTGGTTGTAGATGCATAGGTTAGTTTCTGGGGTTTCTTTTCTGTCCCATTGTTCTATATGTCTGTTTTGTGCCATGTCTGTTTTTGTACCAGGCTGTTTTGATTATAAGTGCCCTGTAGTATATCTTGAAATCTGGTATTGTGCTACTTCTGGCTTTGTTTTTATTGTTTAAGATTGCTTTATCTATTCTGTTTCTCTTGTGTTTCTGTATGAATTTTAGCATTGCTTTTTCTAGATCTGAGAAGAACGTCCTTCATATCTTAATTGTGATTGCATTGAATCTGTAAATTGGTTTGGGTAGTACAGTATTCCCATTTCTATGAATTTCTTTGGAAGGTAGATCTTTAGTAGAATGAAAACATATACATAAGAGTTCAGTGGCATGAAAATACATAGACATAGGAGTTGCAGTATTATGTGTAACCATGTAATTTTTAAAGTTTTTTAAACCAAAGTCAACATACCTTATTCTTTTTTAAAAAGTTCAGTTAGTCTTTTTAAAAGACTTATTTATTTATTTGAAAGGCAGAGTGACAGGGAGAAAGGGAGAGAGAGAGAGAGAATCTTCCATCCTCTGGTTCATTCCTCAGATGCTTGTTACAGCCATGGCTCAGCTGACAAAAGCCAGGAACCAGGAACTCCATCTGGATTTCTTACATGGTTGGCAGGAACCCAAGTACTTCAGCCATCATCTGCTGCTTCCCAGGAACATTTAGCAAGAAGCTCAATTAGAAGTGTGAAGCAGCCAAAACCTGAACCAAGCACTTTGATATTGGATGCCAGTGTCCCAAGCAGTGGCTTAACCCATTGTGCCACAATGCCCTCTTCTAAACTTATTTTTTAATTCCATTTTTTCCTCAAACCATTTGCAGTACACTCATACACTTTTGGGAAAGATAAAATGTAAAGGTAGGTGAAGAATTGTAAACAAATACCGAACTGCTTCAAATCCAGCTCCCTGCTCATGCGCCTGGAAAAGCAGTGGGGGATGGCCCAAGTGCTTGGGCCCCTGCACCCACAGGGGAGACCTGGATGAAACTCCTGGCTCCTAGCTTTGTCCTGGCCCAGACCTGACCATTGCAGCCATTTGGGGAGTCAACCAGTGGTTGGAAGAGCTCTCTCTGTCTCTCCTTTTCTCTCTCTAATTCTGTATTTCAAATAAATAAAATAAATCTTTTATAAACAAAATGGTTTATTTTTCAGTTGTGTGGGCAAAGCATTCCTGACACAATTATAGGTGTAGTGTAGGAAAAACAAAATCAGTATATGTGTTGATGTTCTTGGAAGCCAGGGTTCTTACTAAGAAAGAGGAATATATATATATATATATTTTAAAAAAGACATTTATTCAGCATCATGATCAGACTGTTACATTTAGCAATCAACAACATGGGTGCAAAAAAATAAAAAAATTACATTAAACCCTTTTGTTGGAATGCTTTACACTTTCCATAGAACAGAAACTAAAATAGCCTGTTATACAGTTAGTCACAATACTAATTTTTTTTGCCTATACACATGAGTATTGTCTAAAACATGTTGTCTTTGTATTAGCCAGGCCCTGCCACCATTGTGCTTGGCTGAGTTCACAAATCTGTTGTAACCTGTAGCTTCCCTGTCACTTCTCTGGCTTTCTTTCATGGCAGTTATTAAAACCTGCCACTGCCATAGCTATTGCTGCTGCTAGAACCTCCATAGCCACCTTGATTTTGTGGTTTGGCAAAATATTGGCTGCCGCCACCATAGGGGCCAGAGCCTCTGCCTCCAAAATTTCCTCCTTGTATGGGTCCAAAATTTGAAGATTGTTGTAATTGCCAAAATCATTGTAGCTTCCACCACCTCCAAAATTGCTTCCATCATTGCCAAATCCATTGTAACCATCCCCACTGTCACCATAACCACCACCACCACATTGGCTGCCACCAACGCCACTATGACCACTGAAGTTTCCTCCATGACCAGAGTAGTCATTGCCACCAAAACCACCTCCACAACCACCACCAAAGTTTCCAGAACCACTTCGACCTC